CTCATCCACGGCAGCTCCCCACTGTAACACCTGAGCACCTCTGGGCAGGTGAAGTGGATGGGTGCCTCTGTCCACGCGCTCTGTATAGTTTTGTGGAACGTGTTGCCGTCCGGCATTGTGAGTGAGTGTGTGTGTGTCCATCATATGACCCTGCCTCAGTGAACTGTAACTCCGTGAAGGCAGGAACCCTCTGTTCTGTTCACCCCCATCTTCCCGGTGCCCAGAACAGTGCCTGAAACCTAGGCAGTCATTGCACGTTGGTGCACGTGGACGTGTGAACGAGCGAGCGACAGCCCGCAGTGAGCGATGGCATCAGCGCCTCTGAAAGTCTGACCAACGAAACCGATTGCTTCCTGGGGACACGTATCGCCATTTGTAGCCTCTGGGGCACTCATGGGGGGAGCGCATCACAGCACTTCTCCACCTCTCCATGTCAATAAAAACGGGACCCGACTGCGAGTGGCAGGTGTTTGTATCGGTGTCGCAGTTAGGGAGCTCGGTAACCCCCTACAAGTGTCGGTACCTTCAGGAAATTGTCCCGAAGGCCTTAGCCAGCTGAGATCAGCCAGCCTAAAACTGAAGGCGTTGGTCCAAAAAAATACTGATGGTCAAAAGGTCGTCCCTTGTCATCGGAAATAGACCTAACGGAGAGTTAGTAAAAGGGCCGTAAAAGCGTAACACAGACTTTTTCCAGATTAAGGAGCAGGCCCTGCCCACTGTGAGAAATAGAGACCCCGTAAAAGAGGGAAACACCTCCCGAAGCCGTCGAACCAAACCACGCCGAAGCTGGGTTGGAATAATAAAATAACCCCAACAGAACCTTCTTAAGGCAAAAGAAGGCAATGGAGAAATCTTAGAGCACGTTTAATCTCAGATTAAAATATGAAGAGCAAGCAAATTTCCAAAGGACTCAATAATTAGAGACCTAATAATTAATATCCGAGAGTGACCCCCCACCCCAAGTCAGGAGTGCTGGTTCAAGGGACTTTGTAGGGACATTGGGCAGCTGTGTGGAAAAGAAAGAAGGCATGACAAAGGAGAGAGGCTGAGGGCAGATGGAGTTGAAGCTTAAAAACTCGTCGCGTGCAAGAAATTTAAATGGGAGACGTCTTTTCATCCAGCACGTGCAGTCGCGCCTTCAGCAGGTGTTCGGGGGGAGACGACATACGATGCGCTGTCAGGACACTCATGCTGAGGCGCGAAGCGGAGGCCGAGAGGCCGGAGTCGCTGGTGGCACCGTCAGGCAGAGCCCAGGGGAGGCTGGGCCCGGGCGCAGCCAGGCGGACGAAGGGACACTGAACTGGACCCTGAAGCATGGGCGGACTCGCTTGTCTGGAGGGCCGGAGGCAGGCAAAGCACTCTGGTGGCTGGGAGGGACAGTCCAGCAGCGATCGCCTGCATTCGCAGAGCTGGAGAGCAGGGCCGAGCGTGGCAGTTACTGAATTGGTGGTTTGTTTTTCTGTTGTCATCAAAAACAAATTTCAGTTAGAAACCAGACCTGAGCACAAACAGGCTTAATTCTTGACAGCTGAATTCTTAGGGAAGGTGTTTCCTCCCTTTGTAGACCAAAGTCACCTTTTTAGTTTTATCCTTTGAAAGACAAACCTTCTGGAAATTTCTTTTGCTGTTTTCCCCACCTTCTCAAATACAGGACTGTATGTCTGACTTACTGTAACCTTTTCACGGGACTCAGGGTCATCTCATGCATGTTAATTGTGACCACATGCTGGTCGGAGTCGTGGACGCCCCAAGCCTGTGAGAATGTCACATTCTGTAGCTTTGCACTAACTGGCTTCAGGCAACTGCATTTTTAAGTTCTGGTGGCTCTTTAAAGTTAGGCTTTTTTTTTTTTTTTTTTCTTTTGCTGTTAATGTTTCTATCCAGAGATGTTGCACTTTTCTCTGGTAATTTTGTTTCCAGTCTTGTGATTTTAGAAAGAAGACCATCGATCTTAATTATGGATCTTAATTATGCGTAGATTAAGAGCAAGCAAGTGTTGAGTGAGGGTCTTAAGATTTTTTCTAATGTCAGCATCCTAATGTTTAGACTAGTGTGGACTTTTTGACTACCGGGGTCATGTATTTCTTGGTTCTCAGCTACATTGTCATCAAATAACTGAGTTACCAAAAGGTGCCACGTCATATGTTTATTTTGAAAACTATCCGGCCGAAGGCTGAGATTTGTTATGAATCAATTATGATGGGATGGAGAGGTTTCTGAAACTCAGACTGGATCTAGTTCAAGGACACTGACCCCGTTACCTTGCACAGTAGTTTCACCTCTCATCTGCCCAGCTAACCTGTTTGAAACCACAGTGATGCGCCCCCTGCTCCCCAAATCACTTCGGGCTCGATTGGGCTGGGTCCAGCTCGTCTTTGAGGCTGTGCACACAGGTTTCTGTGCTCACAAGATATCTGGCTTGGAAGTACGGATCGGTAGCGTTTTTTATGATGGCAGTGAATTGGTGCTTTGGCCTTTTAAATGGAAGATTTCTCTGTGACATTCTGGTACCTGGATGTCAGCTTTGCAGGAGGACTGTGAACGGCCTCTCACTGCAGTGTGAGTTCGAGGCTCCTGAGTCTCACGGTCATGGAACTGGTCTTGCATTTAGCTGTTACATCAGCCTGGTGATTGCTGTCTTCTAGAAAAGGGTGAGATCCCACGGAAGATGAAAGTGATAAAAAGCCGTCCTCCACTTAGACTTTCTTGGTGTGTAATCCAGTCTCCAGGCCGGTGGCATGATGCCCTCGCTGCATTAGGAAGACGTCTCGTGGGGTCGGATGTCCCTCTGTAGCTAGACTTGGCAGGCATCCCACTTCCGCTGAGAGAGTGGAGGGTCCAGCAGAGGAGGGGCCCGGGGCTTTGTTTGCATCACCTGAGTTTGTACATGGCCCTTAGGAGAAGCGGTCCCTTTCAAGAGGCTGCTTGGGATGCTCTTGAGCTAAGACTCTCAGTTAAATCCTGCCCCCTGCTCCTTAGCAACCCCACTACTGCATCTCATTGCGCATTCTCCTCTCTATGAATTACTTCAAGACGTGCAGATGTCAAGTACGATGTCGTTTTAGTTAGCTAAAGTGTGTGGGGTCTCATCTGTGGGAAGAACTCTGTGTCAGGTCTGGGAGACCACAGTCTCGTTAGAAAACTTTTCAGAGATACGTTTAGAGGAAGATACGGTCCAGTCATAGGGCGACCCAGATCGAAACGGCGTGACCGATGGGTAAATACTTGGGTCACCTGTCCGTCCCGTCTTCCTCAGGTAATGTAGGATGTACAACTCCAGAGAGCGTGAGTTAGATATTTGGATCCAGTGACACACACCTACTGGTAAGAGGGGCCTGGCAAAGATGAGACCAGAAGTGGCTCTCGAAAGACAGGAGGCTGTGATGAGCTGAGGGCAGGGGACAGAGCAGTGAGAGAGGACCAGGAGGCCTGAGTGGCAGCAGTGTGCTCGCGGGGCAGCCGGGCATCCGCGCCACCCAGGCACGGGACGCAGGCAAGCTGGCGGGGCTCAGAGCCAGGCTGCGGTGTGCGGTCGGCGATGACCGCTGGGCGCTGCTGAAATGCTGGACAGAGACGTGCGCGGCTTCCAGCCCACCGAAGAAGGCTTGGCTTGGCGCGTGAATGAACAAACGAGGTAAAGACCCCAGAAGGGCCGCTCCATCCATCCAGCATCAGCCTCCGAGGGCCAAGACTTGGATGGGGCATATGTGAGTGGAGAGCAAACGCAGTTGTGCACAGGAGGTTTCGTTTTTATAGCTGAGGAGGCCATATTCTTCGAGTTTTGTGGTGTTGGCAGGCTCTAGGTGTAAGGGGCACCCTCGACCGCCGGGGGTCCAGTGACCTAGAGAGAAGAGGCAGAGGCCAGGGCGGGAGGCCGAGGGGCGTCCACAGCGCAGCGCGAGGACGTGTCTGCAGCTCGTGCAATAAACAACATTTTTGCATGGCTTCCTCGGGATTTGGCTTCAGGTAGAAAGAAGGTGAGAGAAGCCTTGAGTCCACTTGTAGTTTTGAGAAGAGTGTTTAGTTTCCACGGAGCTTTCCTTTATCATCACTGTTCGACGGTCGAGTCTTCCTTTTAAACGTCTGTTTCGTCGTTGTCCTGTCCCCAGCGTCCCAACACCTGCATCCCAAGCGCACTTACTCCTACTTTTCTTCCCTTGGCTGTGAATGCCTCGGCAGAAGTGGGTAGGGCGTGTTAGGACTTAACGCGTCAGAGCACAGTTGAAAGTGGAGACGTGAAATTTCCGTTTATGAATAAAAAGTTTATTTTCTATAACTAGAAAATGAAAACGGTTGTCTGACTTGCTTTCTAAAGGGAGGCCACTGGCTGGGGACTCACGATCTGCTCCAAGGGAGGCATCCCAGCTTCCACCAAAGGTCGCGACAGTGAAAGGTCAAACCCACACTTCGGACGTCCACGGGACCCTGCCTGAGCCTTTGACCTTTATTTATTGTTTTTGTTTTTTTTTTTAATTTGGAGTGGGGGTAGCATTCCTTTTACAGTGAAAGCCAGCTGGGCTTCCGAAAATTGGTTCTTGGGAACTTCTGGAGTTTTTTTTTTTTCCATTATTTATTCCATTATTTTGTTTTCCATTATTAAAATGAAGCACAGAAGACAGAGAACTCCCAGCCGTTAGGAAGACCAGGAATCCCTTTTTTAATACACATTTTCTTAGTGTATTTCCCTGAAACATAAACAAAGAAGCCCAAACCATCTTAAATGCTGTAGGATTTATCAGCTGTGTTATGTATTGGCAACGTAATTCACCTGAAGCCATGTGGTAACCAGAAATATTTTGAGATCATCAAATATGGCTTAACATAAATTTAATGTCATCGAAATAAGTTCTGGTAGCATTCCTAAAGAATAAGGCCAGGTAATGTTAACTGCAGCATATTCTGGGCATGATTCATGTCCTTATGTCTGTGGTTGAACACAGCCGGTCTGAATATTTACGATGTGATTCTCAGCCAGTGAGAATATCCATTATATTTTTCAGCTTCTCCAGTTGGCAACGGTTATATCAAGCCTCCAGTTCCACCCGTGCCGGGCACCCAAAGGGAGAAAGGGCCACCGACCATGTTACCCATCAACGTGGACCCAGACAGCAAACCGGGAGAGTATGTCCTCAAGAGTTTATTTGTCAACTTCACCACCCAGGCCGAGCGCAAGATTCGCATCATTATGGCAGAGCCGCTGGTGAGTACGCTCTGTGACGCGCTTCTTCTCAGATTCATCTTTACGCTGAACGGAGGAGCTTGTACAGCTCTGAGAAAGAGGAGATTGCTTTTCCCCGAATTTCCAAAGGTTTCATATATATATACAAACACATATATATATGTATATACACATATATATGTGTATATACACACACACACACACACGTACATACCTACCAGTGGTTATTTTTTAAAAGACTGTAGTTAAGTTTCCTGATGTAAGAAAAAAAATCAACTCCCAAACAGTCCTCAGCAAATGCGTTGCAGTAGCATGTCTCACTACTACATTTAAGACTAGTGAGCATAGTTGAACGATAAGAAGCATTAATCATAGAAAAATTGTGTTCGGTCTCTGTTCTGTTATATATAATTTAGTCATCGTCTTTTGTCCTATTTTGAAAGTAAATGAGAAAAGGAAAATGTCATTCTTCACGTGGCTGCCTGGACGGCCACTTTGGGGACACAGGGTCTCAGTGATATATTGTCCGAGGAAGGTTTTTGGCGAGTCATGCAGAAGCACCCCTTTGTTTCCTGAAAATTGAGAGGCAAGAAATTCTTGACTCACATACCGTCAGGTCCCTCTTGAGATGGTGGCTTTGGATGTCGGCGACTTTCTTTGCCCATGATTCTGCCGCAAAATAAGGCACGCGTTGGAGTGGGGCGTTACTTGCTCTAGCAAGGGCTGGATCTCAAAAAGACAGTCAGCAAGGGAGCGCAGTTGGTAGAGTCAGATGCCTTGTTTTCTGACCATGGCGACATGCAGCGCGAGGGAAGGAAAGGAATCCAGAGCGACAACAACTCTTTCTGTGACACTGGGCTTTGGACCTCCTGCGGGGACACTGGGGCACGCAAACACAGTCCAAGACTTGCTCTATGGCATCGTAGCCGAGAATCATTAAATGTAACATTATGCAGCCCGCAACACACATCTCTAAAAATATGTAATGGATGACGCTCTGTAAGCATCGCAATTTAAGGTTTAGGAATCCGAACTCGAGCCTCTTTGTTAAGTATGCGGTTACCTGAAAGTTACAAACTCGCATTTTCAAGTTTTTATTAAATCGAGGGAGGTTATCATCCTGGATTCTGACTTCTCATGGAAAGAGTTCTTTGGCTTTGCCGTTTGACTCGTTTAAATCAAACCTCGGTACAGGGCCCTTTGCCCACTCACCCATGTGTTTATGTTTCTAAAAACTCTTACAACTAATAGCAACAGTGGACGTTTCTGGGATGCTTACTGCGCGCCAGGCACTGGTCACAACTTGCTGTCTCCTTCAGTTTTCACAGTGGTCCTAGGTAGGCAGTATTTATGCCCCATCTACAGACGGGAGGGTTGGCACCGAGAGGGCAGAGTCATTCCCAGGGTCGCACACAGTTGATCTGAATTCAGGCTGGGTGGCTCAGACCTGCCCTCGAACCGTTCGCTCTCTAGTGCCCGTCCCCGTGGTCTTCACGTAAGATCGTCTCCTCCAACTTCCGAAAACACACGGGCACGGGCTGTCCTGTTCCTCGGCCCCAGAGGTCACGGGGAGGGCATCCTGGCGAGGCGCAAAGAAAACTTAGAGCATTCCTTCCCCTAGAAAAGGCGGGCGGCAGCTCGGCGCGCGCTGGTGCTGCGCGCGTATCACGGCGAATCCCCGAGGACTCGGGAAGTCGTACACAGCTCTAAAGGTACGCCCGGAAGGCCAGGTCCTGACGCCTTTCGAGTCCCCCGTTTCCCAAATCATAGCCTAAATACTGTGATTGAGGAGTTTAGGCAGGGACGTCGTTTGGGTCTTTAGCTCTGTCACCTTTCCTCGGCTTGGAATTTGTCTGCGTGGCAGATTTCTCCTTGGAGTAAACATTGTCTGAAAAACGACCTGGGCCGCGGCGTTTTTTAATTAGAAGTCAATGTTATTTGTTCCTCTCTGTGAGTCAACTTAAATGTCCCCAGACAAGAAAAAATGGAAAAGAAACAGTGTCCACCCCCTTTTCATCAGCCAGTCTGCGTGACGTGCCTCAGAGGAGTCCACTAGATGCTGATGGCCAAGGAGACGGACATTGTGTTTTTAGCTGAGGAAATGTATTCAATCAATTTTTAGTATCACTGCTTTTTCTAAAAAGAGACTATTTGTTCCCCTCGTATTTTTGGCAGAGAAGTAAGCTTCCGTGCCACATCCATTTCTTGTCTGCTGAAAAACGCTTAGTAATTTTTGTCCTTGTATTTGCTTCCTTATGGGGCAGTAAGTGTGAGTGGGTTTCAGGGCTCATTACCTGATTCTAAAAATGTAAATTCGGCATTGTATTCTGTAGCCATAGCAAGAAGTGTTATTTTCGACGTCCATATAGTACGTTCAAAGTGAATTTTGGTAAATGTCCCCTAGTTCTCATACCGAGTTAGCTTTGTTTAGAAAGACACTGAATCCTTTAAAAACCTAGATTTACATGGGTTTGTGTCAAATCACAAAATTGTATTCTACATCTTTAACATAATTAAACTTATAGGGGAATAGCAAGGGTAATTTTTTCAAAAATTGAAAGTATAGATTTCTCATTGGTGATACTCAAGAGTCTGTATTTTTCAGTTTTATTTTTAAAAGACTGACTCCTTCAGGAGCCTACATCAGTTAGATTGTGTGGGATAAATTATACACAATATTAAAGTCGTATTTATGAGTAGCCAAATGAAGCTAACTTTAATGAAGAAAAAGCTAAGAAACAAAAATGTTCTACCAAAATCAAATTTTAGGTATTTTTTCCTTGTAAACTCATTTCCCTGATTCAGCATTGTTATTTGTACCCCAAAGATGCTCAGGTCATATTCATATTTATTGGTTAATCAATAATTTTACTCTATTTTTGTTGCTTTATGCAGTCATTTGATGGCATTTGCTCTTGTCCAATTTTACCATTATTTCACCTTTCCCAAGCAAAATGTTTTTAAAAAGATAAATAGGGTCATCTTCACCTTTTTTATATTTTTTATTTCAAAACAGATAAAGTACAGAAAATAATATAATGAATGTTTTTCCCTCTTGCCTCATACTTCTATGGTTTAAAATTTCTTCTTACAGAAGTATATTTTTTGGTCATTCTTTAGGTAAGAGTCAGTTGAATATCCGTCAGTCTTATTTATCTAAGATGCTTTGTTTCTTCCCCAGTGATAGTTGAGCTGGGAATAGAATTTTAGTTTGACATTTATTTTCACTGCAGACTTTTGACGATATATTCCTCTACGTTGCCTCTGTAACTGCTATTGAAAAACCTGTGGTTGATTTATTTATTCATGGATCGTTTGCTTTTTTGCCTGCATGCTTGTATGGTTTATTTCTTTGTAGTGTTCTGAAGTTTCACTACTCTGTGTTTGAATGTGGATTTAATTTTATTTTCTTGTTTGAGAGTCTCATGCTTCTTGAATTGAAGGTTTATATCTTCCATTAATTATGGAAAGTTATTAGCGATTAAAAATTTTGAATATCATCATTCCTTCACCTTCCTGCTTCTCTTTTTTCTGGTACTCCCAGTAGATGTGTATTGGGCCTTCTCATGTTATATTACATACCTTTTAACCTTTCTTTTATTATTTTTATCTCTTTGTCTCTCACTACTGCATTCTGAATCATTTTCTCAGGTCTATATTCAGTTCCTTAATTCTCCCTTGGGCTATGCTAATTCGTTGTTTAACCTGCCCATTGAGAATTTTACGTGACTATATTTTTCATCTGTAGAAATGCTGTATGGTTCTCTTTTAAAATCTATTTGTCGGAGGAGGTGAGGTGCATTTTGTTACTTTTTTCAGTTTCTATTTTATGTCTTTGATCACCTTAAACATACTTTTGTGGGCGGGGGGGGCATGTTCTCTTCTAGATTAGCCTCACAATTATTACTCTCTGGGGCTAACTATTATTAATTTCTTGGCTTGGGAGTTTCTGCACTTAAAAGGTATAAACTCCAGCTCGTGTAAAACTTGAGACTGGGTTCCAGATTCTCAGGGAGGATGTTGTTGCTGTTGTAGTTTTGACCTAGAACCCAGGCCAGGGTCATTGGGGTATCTTTTCATCTTGTTCTGCCAGTGGACATATGTTTCCCTAGTCCATTTTCTCATTGTTTAGGACCAGACTTTATGTAGGACCCACCTCTCAAGGCCCATAACTTTGTTTCCTGTTCCCAAGTGGACAACAAAAGAAGTCTCCGGAATAATGAGACCGATAGTCCTCCTGTGCAGCCACTATGTCGCCTTATATCTTTCTGCTTTTCATCTCTCTCTCACTTTCTTGTGAACTTATTTCTGCATTAAAAAAAAAAAATCTTATATTCCATTTAACGTTTCTAAGTGCTTATAGCACGTGAGACTTTCAGTTACCTTAGTCAATTATCCTGCCGAGGTCCTCTACAGAATTCTTGGTTTGTTCCTCATGCAGATAAGGCCAGGATTGGTCTTTGCGCCATGAGGCTTATGTGCAAGCAGAAGTTCCCATTGGCGGAGTGGGGTGTCCCCAAAATGAATAAAAGAAAGAGCGAGAGGTTCGTTACCGATTCTTCCTCTTCTGATCCTGGCTGATAAATCTTGCCTAAATACAACCCGGGCCCTTTCATTTCCTTGTCAAAAATGTTGATTTCATACCCTTTCACTCCTCATGTGGCTACAACCCATCATCCGTCCTCCACATACTTTTATGAAAGCGTGTCTCAGTTCTGCTTGCCTGCCATCGCGCATTCATGCACACTGCCCCTCTCTTCCTGAAATGCCATTCATCTCTATCCTGCCCGTCTTTCAGCCCCAACTCAAAGACCTCACCATCTGAAAAGGTTTACTTGCTTTCTTCCCTGCTGAGTCCACGCGGTTATGCAGATGTAGATATACACACCTGTCCATCTGCCCGAACCGTCACATGGTTCTCTCAAGCAAACTCTACTGGCTTCATTGAACTGGAGTATGAGAATAGATGAGCATAGAAAATATCAGGGTACATGATAGGTTTTAAGGGGAAATGTCGTCTT